TTACGATTCTTACATTTTATTGAAGTCATCAGAATGCCAGTTACCACTATTGCAACATGCACAAAGACCTTTTAAAGCTGTGTAGAAAAAATATTAATATTACATCATTATCATGAAGATGTTGTCTCTATAGGCATTCATTTGTAACCTACTTCTTTTAATAAAAATATCGCCAAATGATTGTTACCAAATCTGTGCTCTGCAGTGTCTTCTCAATCGAGAATCACCAGCAGTTTTTTGCAGGAAATAATTTTCTTTAGGTGTAAATATGAACAGGCTTACAGAATATTAAAATGATGATTCTAGAAAGCAACATTCACTGATTCACAGTTCAATAACGAGATTTCAGCAGATTGATGACTGCTGTTGGCTGACTGGCAGGAGTGGTGCTGCAGCACCTGAATTAACCCAATCTTGAACTTGAAATGGTTAAGAGGAGCTTTATTGGTTGGACAGGTAGTATAGGAGGAACTGTATGTGCACCAAGTACATAATTGTTTCAAGATGTTAATGAGACAGGGAATTCCTTGAGGGCACATGGGTGGCGCTCTCTCGCATGTGGGGCCCTGGGTTCAATTTCTGGGGTGCCATCTGTGTGGAGTTTATAAGATCTCCCCTGTGTTTGTGTGGGTTCACTCTAGCTGCTTTGGGTTTGTAGGTTAATTTGTTTCCAGGAAAACTAGCCCAGGTGTGTGTGCCCCGTGATGGACTGACGTCCCATCCAGGGCATACCCTGCCCGTTGCTTGCTGGGATAGGCTGCAGCTCCCTTGTGATCCTATGTTGGATAAAGCAGGTATAAAATGGATGGATGGATGAATTCTATGATGTGAACTCTGCCATCTATCCACCTGTCAAATCTGCATCACCCTCCCTTCAAACCACAGCTGCTGGTTTATATTTGGAAATACCTGAAAAGGATGCTTTTCAAAGGAGCTCCGTGTCTTTTGTTTCTCCGCAGATGGTTTAGAACTCCAGTTCAAAAGAACAAAAACAGCACTGACAAAGTGTTGGTATCGTGTGGAAAAGTCTAATAAAACTTTTTTTTTTTGGGATGCTCCACTTTAATTTGAGATTAATTCTTCTATTGAAGGTGGCAGGCAATCAATGTAAGGCATGTATGTGAATACAGGAACAGGATTGGGGTGGGTACAAGGAATCATGTAGGAGCACTGCTCTTCCTAATTTATATCCATGATCTAGATTCTGATGTAGTTACTCCACTAATCATATTCGCAGATGATGATAACATCAAAACGACTAAATTCAAGACTAGGAAAATACCTGGTTCAAGACACCTGATACTCTAACATGGGTAACGGGCTACTGGATAAAAAGGCAGGTGTTCATGTTGACAGATCAGTTTCATTTTCTAGACGTTATGAGGAAGCAACAAAAAAAGGAGAACAGAATGTTAGGATTAGTAGTTAAATATGCAGAGTTTAATTCAAGGGGTGTTCCTGGGCTCAGAGGAATGTCGTTCGGTCTGCCTCCTGCAGTCTTATGCAAAGTGTTTGACCTACTTGTCTGACGGCTGTGTCATAAATGTTGTACTTTTTTTTTTCTTCTAGTTGATTCTTAATCCAGTGTGCTGCCAGGACACCAGCTTTCTCATACCCTGCCAATAACTTCATAAACACAGCACCTTGAGTGCCCCAATTAAACAAAAAAAAAAACGTTTTCTTTCTAAACGTACAGTACATTCAATTTGAGATTGTTTTCCTTGCCAAGTTTATAGGAAAGAACAAAATGTGCAGACGGAAATGCGTTTTTGTTTAACAATTTCATTGATCTAATTTTATATAATTTTAATTTTCAAGGCATGCTTTTGTACCTTATTTTACTTTTCATTCCATCTTTATATTTAGCACAAGGAACTGTTTTTTTCTCTGTAAAGGAATCTATTGTCTGTATTTTTGTGAGAAGCTGGGGATGCAACACAAAGACGGTATTCATCAGTTGCCTAAAATAAACAATTCATTCAAAACTGCAAAACTGTGGAAATGCTTTTTTGTTTTTTTAAATCCTTACTCTAGAAGCCTAAAACATGTCTTGGCATTGCAGTTATTTTGTCATTCATTTAGTCTAATTAGTTTGAACTTAATTCACATATGCAGGAAACTCGTCGTTTACATTTTTTTACACAACAGTAGATGGAAGACTGCTTTCTGTTTTTGAACAATCATTTTTAAAAATGGTATTTCTGACATGTAAGCTTGTTTTGTTTATGTGAGTAGATGTAAATCAGCTCATTTGTATCACTAAACGGCATGAGATCTGTAAGTTCATAAAGGCAAAGGCTTTTCTAAATGCAGTTTTATCTGGGTTTCAAGCTTACAATGAAGATTTAAACCAAATTAATTTAACCAAGTGGAACTGGCTGTGGAATGCATAAGTACGTTACTCCACTATACAATAAGAGTGACATGTATATTAATCAATTACTTGCTTTGGAATGGATTTCTGAGCATTTCCTTATGTAGTTACACAATAAGATATAAGAGCGAGGTAGTTTAGCCCATCAGGGAGACTTTATGAACATCAAAGCTTTTACCCCAAATCCAAGAGGAAGAGTTCTGAATAACTCAAGAGCTCTTTGAAGGCATAAAGAAAACAAATTTCTCTGGCACCATTGTGCAATGGTGGATAAGGGTGCTGTTCTTCAGGGTGCCTCATGAAGTGCTATTTTTCTTTTTTTTTTGGTTTGGCACTTTTCTCCAAAATGACTTACATTTGCACTGATTCACACAGCAGGACATTTTACAGAGGACAGCAGCCCAAGGGCACCAGTATCTACACTGTCACATCGCAGACACGAGAACACCACAGCTGTCTGTGTCCCACCACACCTTTCCAGCTGTGGAAGCCCTCAGCTGCCTCGGGCACAGTGAGGTTATTGCTGTACTTCATCTTCAGACCTCATTTCTTTTCTTCGCTGACTGTGCTGTGCCGGTAAGATCACTTCCTGCTGTGCGTGAAGGGGACGCAGCCCTTGTGCTGAGCCCATGTGGCTGTGTTTCACTTGTGCTCCCATTTTTCTCTGGTGCTTTGAGGTGTGTCAACTATCCTGGTAAGTAAAACAGTGACATTACAGAGTTCGGTTTCCCCAGCTATTGAAAACAGAATGGCAAAGGCTACCTATACCAACACAATTAAATACACCCTAAACAAGAAGGCGATACGATTAAGACAAAGATCAATCGGGCGACGCGAAAACATTCAAAGTGGAGTGAAAGGACATAGAATCCAAGGAGAAGAACTGCAATGGAGATGAAAAGGGAGTAGAGAGAAAGAGAAACTCAACGGAAGACTTCAAAAGACTAGATAATTATATGTTTATACCTAAAACCGAGAAGTGTTGGCATCTAAATGCACAACATAAAGCCTACTGTACCAGCTGGTGACCCTGGTGTCATGAAATAGCAGAAATGGGCTCACACAGAGTGATGGACAAGACTAGCAGTTTCACAGACAGCCTGGAAACATGGAGGTGGAGGTTTAGCGCTAGTAGCAGACAGGCACAGGCAGTTAACTTTGATGAATCAAGGGACTATGAATTAAAAACATCGTAAAGGGTAGGTTAGGAGTAGTGTACAGATATTCTACATTTGGATTTCAATTTTTCTGTCCTGTGTAATAAAATAAAAAAATATGTCTAAAGGAAGAAGAGGTTAGCATGGTGGACTTCGATTTTCTTCACCTAGATTGATGAAAACCACCGGGGATGTCAGCAGCTGAGACTGAAAAGCAGACACGTCTAACGTCTTTCTTACTCAGTCTGTCAAACTCCCCCCCCCCGGCACGCTTGTGTTGATCTAGTTTTTCTCAGACAATCAAGGAAGAGTGGATATTTTGAGGACAAAAGTGGAAAGTGAAGTGGATTTAGAACAGAGAATGGAAAGTGCCGTTTCTGATGAGCACAAGCTATCCAAGTGTGTTGTCCCATCTGATGCATGTTCTTCCTGATAGATTTCTACATATTACTGGAAATTATGTAGTTTCCAGCCACAGTAAATATTTCTCAAAACTATTTTGACCGACATTTTCATAAATAATACTTTTTATTCTGCTGACATTCCAAATTTGCATCCATCCGCAAAGTGTAAAGGCCCATTATGCCATATTATGCTGGTTCCTGTGGCATGAAATAATTTTTGCCAAGCTGACATTTTGTAAGTTAGCGGGCAAATAAAAACTGTATAGGATGTGACAGGTAATTTGTATTCTGCTAATATCTTAATGTGAATTTACATAGATGTACCTGTACATTTCGAATACTTTCTCCCGGTCATGAGCCGAGATGTGGGAATACAGGCGTTGTTTTGGAGGCCACTGCCAGAGCCTGTCCTAGCGGCGCCCCTGGGCTGCTCCACCCGGCCCAGACACCGCCTTGGCCACTGACTGGGCTGTGTGAAGCTCTGCAGAGCGTGGCTTTTCCCTGCACGTCTCTTAAAGAACCAATCTCCTCTTTTCCCCCTGTGGATTCACGCCTGCAGCTCTGGCAATGGTGCTGGGCTTTGCCACGGAGTTCTGGTCACGATGGTCCCTATTGGTCAGCTCTTCACTTCTTCCTGCGACAGGGTATGACACAGGGAGACAGGTGAACCTCCCTGTCCAGTCTCGCCCCCTGTGTGTCCTGGCTTTCACCGACAGCTCCGCAGGAGCAGGACGCCAGCCAGAAACCGTTACGCCACACCGATTACTCATGTGCATGCGCATGTAAAAACCTGTCTCCGACTGCCACAGCAATTGAAAATGCTCCTGGACTTGCTTCCAGTCATATTAACCGACGTAATGACACATTCTGGCAAGAGAATGCACTATTTTAAAATTTAAAAATCTTAACGCCCACTTTTTCTTCAACATTTAGCAATTCAAAAGTAACTTCTGGAGCAGTTTACTGATAAAATAATTTTGTGCTTCGAAAGGCCGCAAACAAAGTAACCATCATCATGCTCATTTGCATATACTGTAAGCAAGCAGCAGATCACTCATTTTTTTTAAAAAAATTTATTTAAATAAGCAGTTGTTTGCACTACATGAAACCGAGCCTGCGAAAGGTGTTTCAGTTCATTGGAGAGAGAACAGGAAACGGGTGTCAGGACAGCGGTTCTCACGCAACCACAGGCACGTTGGCTCCACTCTGGCTGGAAACCGTGTGGCCTGGCATCCAACCGCTGACCGAGCCAGTGCCCCTTTCGTCAGCGATCTTCATTCGCACACGGGTTCCCGCTCAGAGCCGGGCACGCGCCACCGGTTCGCCTCTCCGCCTCCCTCCGGAGAATTTCCACCTTCAATCCTAATAACCGAGTGAAAATCCCACCCCGTGCCCAGACTGGGAGCAAAACCCACATTCAACCTTTTTGGAAAGGACAGTTCTATTAAAACCAACGTCTCTGCAGTATTCATTTTATATATCAAGGTTTTTTTTTTCCTGAATTCTTAAAACTTTGAGCTTTCCAACAGCTATACAGCCATAGTGCAATTTGTAGCTATCCAGCCTTAGCACCATAATACACAATACAAGTTAAATTCAGATACATTCAAATTCAGTGCTGCAGTTCGATCATTGCAAGTGTCAGAACGATTCCCCTTTGTACCAGCACACTTCATAAACTCCGCAGGGATGTTCACCATTGGACCTTGGAAAGTTTTCTCTTTTACTCAGTATTCAGGAATTTAAGCAGATTAAAATTCTGTAATTATCTTTACTTCTGCGTGCGTAGTTGGACTCAGTTGAGAATTTTTTTCCGGAATAATTAATGTAGAGTGCATCGGAGTTTATCAAAGCTGGTGAAGCATGTGCATTAAAAACAGTACTATGGACTTCTCTAAACAGAAGGGAATAAGGCAAGGAATGATTGTCTTCTTAAATAAACGCGATACAAGTTCTCGTACATAAAAACAAGACAGCACAATGCTTTAAAAATGACATAAAAGTACAAAAACTATCTCATAGAAATAAATTAAGTTTATAAAAGCTGGTTACTTGTGCTTTCATTTCTGTTCAGCAATTTGGTTTTTTTAAGGGAAGGGTTTCTAAAAGAGTAGTTTTAAAATGCTAAAATACCAATATTAGCAAAATGGTATGTCTGCTACCAAAAAACCCCTACTGACCATTTGGTTTGCTCTGCATTCACCACTCTTGACTGTTTCAGCTCAGCCTCACTCCAGCCCCTCTCCTGTATTCTGAACTCGCATGTCTGTCCCATCGTTTGACAGCTGATCGAAGCACTGACGTACTCTCAGGACGCTGCTTCTGGAGCTCTACGATTGCCTCTGAAGCCTCTGGAGTTGCGGCACGAAACAGTTCTGAAAGCGCTCCTCCTTCCTTTTGTTCTCCTTTTCCGGGCGCGGTTCAGAAACGCAGCAGTCTCCTCCCTCCCCTCTCCCTATCGTTTTCCATAGCTGTGCTCCAGCCACTGCCTCACTTCGTTGAGATTGTAAAAGAAGGGTCCCTTTCCGCCCAGGTAGGCAATCTTCTGCTGCTGCACGATGCAGACCCTCTCGAAGGAGACGCCGTAGGCCACGTTGGTGTTGTTGTCCATGCAGTCGGCCACCAGCTGGCACTGCGGGGGCAGAGAGAAGTGCTCCAGCAGCCTGCGGGCGGCCTGGCAGCGCTCCTCCAGGCTCCGGTGCTTCCTCACCTTGAAGGAGCAGGACGCCAGGCCCGGCAGCGCCCAGCCGTCGGCCGGGTGCGCCTCGTCGATGTAGACCAGCAGGAAGTCGGCCACTGCGGAGAAGTCCTCCACCAGCCGCCTGAAGGCCGGCAGCTGGCTGATGAAGGGGGGTCAGGTGGCGGAGCCGAAGTTCACGACCAAGGGGCGGTCCGAGCTCTCGAAGTCCAGCAGGCGGCACTCGTCCGGCCTGCCGCCGCCGGGCACCTTCACCACCTTGGAGTTGGGCGCGTCGCCGCCGAGCTTCACCTGGGGCAGGGAGAGCAGCCTGTCAGACGCGGGCACACGAGCGGCGCTGCAGCCTCACTCAGGAGAGGGCAGGCCACTGCAGGCTCCACTTAGCTGATTAATTAGCTTTACCCTGCAGTCAAGTGCAAAACTGATTTATTTCTTTAATGACCTTTGAAGCGAAGCCACAAATCATCTTTGTTTGCTCATCAAAATTTTTAAGTAGAAGCCCATTTTAATTTCTATTGTACACCTAATCCCACAATGGTCTAACAGGTTTCTTTAAACCTCAGAGAAGATAAGCAGTATTTATCTTGCTTAATACTTATGACAAAAGCACACGGGCAGATGACCACTGATACACTTTGAAAAGGAGTGGATATTTGGCTGAACAGTTTGTTGCAGATATGGCAGGTTGCGAAAGTGTCAAGACAATGTTCAGAAGTTATCCCTGCAGTGTGACACACTGAGCAGTGAGAGACGGATCTCTGCCCTTTGTGCAGTTTCTAGCAGAGCGAGCTGGCTGGTGCATTTATCCAGATCGATTCCTGTTGCCCAGTCTGAGCGAAGTGCCCTTGCTAAGCAGTCCAGCAGCAGGTCTGTGCTCAGACTGGAGCCCCTGCCCCACACTGCTGCCTGTCCTTGCTGTGCTCCGTGCTGTGTTCACAACTCTCAGACTGTGATTGTTGTGCCAATTCTCACTTAGCTGCACTAAAATGGGGGGCTGGTTTGTCAGTGGGTGGAGTGCAGTGGAACTGCAATTTCTGCTTCACACACTAACACTCTTGCAGGACTTCAAGAGCACTTTTGCATCTATTCTTTTTAAGAGGAAGAAATGTTATGCAAAGTGGGACCCCAGTTTCGTCATTTCCATGCAAAGAAAAGTGCACCACAGAGCCAATCAAGAGATCAGCACTGCCAGTGGCCTGTCTAGTCAGTGCCCAGGAAAGAAGTTAAAAATGTGCAACCTATAGAAGCATCCACATAAACCAAGGACCCTCAGACACAGACAGCGAGCCAGGAATGGGCTGCTTATCTCACCGAGACAATGAGCGAAGTGTATTGTGTTCTTTCTTTAGAGCAAATGGCAAGACCATTAAGTATTAACTCTAAGCACATGTTCCAAATTCTCTGTATGGCCGCAGAATTAATGTGTTCAAACCCGTTTTCACTTATTCAGTCGTACCTCTGTGTGCACGGGTGCAGATGCACAAAATGTACTAATAAGTAAAAGCATGTTTTTCAAGCTGACAGACCAGCATTTTACCATATAGCTTCTGACCTGTGACTGTTGTGCTTAGTGCTATTGTCCATTGGTGTATAAATGTTTAGCTCAGGTGTGTCCAGTCCAGGTCCTGGAGGGCTGATCTATGTGCAGGGTTTTCAAGGGCTCTTTAAAGTAGAAGCACTTGAAGAACTAGGAGAAGCTGTTTAACTGGGCAAGTAAAGAGTGACCAGCCGGTTTAGCTCATTAAGAGACCAGATGAAATGAAAACCCACAGATACACTGGCCATTCAGGAGTTTAAAGATTATGTATGGGGTCAGGGGTCTGATTACGAGCTGGGTCAGTGTTTGAAGAATTCAGTTTACTCAAAAACACCTGAATACATAGTATTGATCCTCACTATGACTCTCCCAAATGTTGATGCACTGTGATTGGGATGACATTTCCACTTTCCCTGATCTATCCTGGCTGAAGGATCTCGCCAGGGCCAAGCTCGGGTCTCCTTTCAGTCTGAACACTGAGTGCAGTGCGGGACCCGATTCAGTTACAGCTTGCGGCACAGCCAGGGAGCAGAGCCAGCCAAGTGAAGCTGAAAGACGCATGAGTCAAGACTCAGATATACAGAAAACCTGAAAAGAATGTTGTTGCGCTCATTGTTCTTCTCTGAATCGAGACTAACAAGATTCTGCTCTTTTTTTTCCTCAAGTAGCTTCCGTATCAGATTTACCGGCAAAGTAATAAACTGGCCCTCTCTTTCCGAAACCCAGCTCCTGAATACACCGAGCAACACGTGGATTTTTATAACCTCCTAGTACAAGCGGTTTAAAAATCTGGGAGCTGGATTTCCTATTTCTGTGCATTTGGATTAACTGAATTTGACTGTTAATCGCACAACAGGTCTCGATGCCTCTTAATCATGTCTAAGCGTGTATATGCGCTTTTATTTAATACATAAAACCCAGCGTTTTCTACAGGGAAAAACAAGACGCTAATTTTCAGTTGTCTGAACAAGACCCCTGGATTGGCGGACACATGTTGGAGGTGTAATTAGCTCAATTGCGGAGGGGGGGAGCGGGGTTAACCTATAAGTATAAATGAAGCGGCCGGACAATTCAGTGTGAAACGCACGGAAATATTTTAAATTACGCAGCTAACTTTCACTTCCAGGACCAAAAACAAAAGCGCACAACCAACAGGTAACCTTCCCTTAAACCCCCCGTTCTCAATCAGAAGGAAGCGGGTCAGTATGCGACCACGCCGGGAGAAAGTTTCGGAAACACACAGTGACGGCTTGCATCCCTGCTGCTGCTGCTCAGGCAGTGGTCCCCGGGCGGGGGCTCCGCCGCCAGGTGCAGGGCGCACGGCCGTGCTCACCTGCTTGTAGGCGTCCAGCAGGAAGCTGTTCCAGATGGAGCGCAGGCCGGCGGAGGTGAGCGTGCGCTGAAACTCGCCGTCCGAGCCCGAGCAGCTGAGCGCCGACACCACGCGCTTCACCAGCACCACCGAGTCGTACAGCGCCAGGAACAGGCAGTTCGAGAAGAAACCCGGCAAGATCTGCAAGGTCACCAGCAGGTCCACGCTTAACATGCCCATGTTGTACCGCCCCCCCACCAAAAAAAGAGTGCAAAAACCGCTTTCGGTCGGGTATTACTTTTCTTTTTCAAAGTTCATCTCTGCAAACCCATGATGAGCAGGTCCTTAACTTTTTTTTTACTGTTGTTGTTGTTAGACCTCTTCTAAAAAAAAAAAAAAGTCCCTTTTTTGTTTAACAATGCTAGCGTGGCTTTAACGCGTCAGATGTTCTCCCCTCCAGCTCCAGCTCAATAAAGGGGCTCCAGTATTCTTATCTCTGCAGTGCATTGGGCGAAGCGGCGAATGCAAAGTTGACACACGCTGTGGCCAAACTCCCCCCCCCCTCCTCCTCTCCCCCTTTGAAGCCGTGAATATTTCCTGCGCTGCTCTTTATATACCGTGATCATCTCCTGCTCTGCTATAACCCTCGCGGCTTATCTTGTGGTAAGATCGCGACGTCACGGCGAAGGCATTCCCTGGCCAGGGCAGGGAACCAAGTGGCGAAGGGTGGAACCTCGCATCGCGTCGGACCAGCCCATTCAGTCGTCTGCTGTCGAGGAGACCGAGGCACCTTTCTGGTGGCCGGACTGACGTTCAAATGACGCAGCCAGCCACCGCTCGGGGCTTGGCTCGTCTGAAAGAGGCCGTTTGTCCCGTCCCAGCCTCGGTGAGGCTGAAGCAGGACCGGGCGTCAGCTCCCGCCGCTCTGATGCGCTGGGCTCCCCGCGGGGTCACTGAACCCAGCACAAGCGCCGAGGTCTCTCTCGGCTTCTCAGGAATACACGTCACAGATACATCCTCGGCAAGTGCATTTACCCCTGTCGTCTTTTCAAACACGTGAACTGTATTTCCGATTCTTTTTCAAGAAGTGAATCAATTTAGCATTCCTGTTTACGGAATGTTTCCTAATTCTCACCCTCCAGCCTCTCAAACCCAGTGCACTTCGCCCTCTTTTCAATGTACATAAAATCGTAGAACTAACCAGGCTGACAGAATCTGGCAGAACACGTTTTTCTGCGGTCTGTTTTCCAAGTTCATATACTGCAGCTAAGCCTACCAGAGATTTTTTCTCCTTTAAAGTTAAAAATATTTGCTGTCAGGTGCCTCTGCTAATGGCAGCAGCTATATTCCGATACAGACGAAATCTGGGTGCCCTCATGAACGTTCTGAGAACAAGCGCTCACTGGTCTCTGATAATAGAGACCAGTAAGTATTGAATGGTTAAATGCCTCCTGGGACTGACACCAGTTTATTTAACAATCCTCTTGAACATTGAAAGGCCACGAACCCCAGGGCAGCTGGGATGTGCCATTTTGCAATCTGAACTAATTTAATTGTATTCCCTTTGGGTTCATAAATAAAGAGCTGTGCCTCTGGGCAGAGTGGTGGCTCTGTGGCTCAGGATCTGCGCCTGTAGCTGGACAGTTGCTAGTTCAAATCCCACGGCTGGCAGGAAATGCTGAGTTGGTTAGAAAAAATAAACCAATACTGCAGACATTTTAGGCATTTCAGCTGGAATGGAGTTGTACATTGCTGTCAGGATTAAAACATTTTCACGGATGTAATTACTGCTGAAATCCCATTCAATACATTTTCAAAGAGCCACTGTATTCCCATTTAGTGGATTATGGAAGAAGCTGGGGTTTATACACAAAAGCACACCAAAGAATTATAGTTTCATTTTGTTTGGCACTCAGAGCATTTATGGAAATAATTTAAGTTAAAAAAGACAAGGTAACACAAAGTTAAGAACACAAAAGGCAAACCTGCCTATGGTACATCAACAGTATTACTACCTTGTACTGTAGCTTGACCTTGTCGACTTCAGAGGCTAAACAAGGCAGGGCCTGGTCAGTACTGGGCTGAGAGAGCTCCAGGGAAACCAGGTTATTGTGGTGCTCCTCCCTCTGAACCAGAATGTTCTGGTCTCACTGCTGTAGGAGGGGCTGTCCCTCAGATGAGCTGATCAACTGTGGTTCTCACTACTCGGCTCTCACATGGCACTGTTTGTCGGATCAGGGGTGTGAGAGGTCAGTGCAGAAACACTATATACTGCAGTTTTAATGCTGCAAACCAAATTTAAAAATCTCCCCCCAGAATGCACTCTTGTATATATATATAGCTTTTCAATTTTTAACATTTATCTAACAATCAGTTGTATAAAACAAATTCCTCTGCAGAGTCCTGAAATGGATGCAACCACACTTTTCTTTATGTGGTGTCTGTCTGAGGAATATACAGAATAACATCAGAGGGATACACATGCCTAGTCTGTGTGTACGCAGCCTCTTCTCCACTGTAATTCAGTTAATTATTACAGATATGAAATATAATGCAACTCTCTAAAATTACATTAATACTTTATGTGCAAAAGAAGTGTTTTTTTAATGGGAGTTCAGCTTTTCCTACAGCCTTTAAAAATATACTGGAATGTCAGAAACAGAAATGGTAGAGATGGTTAATGATGCTGTCTTGGAGCACCTACAAGAGGAAATGCTTGTATTGATCTTGTTTATTCAAACCCACAAGTTGAATTTCAAGCTCAGGTAAAAAATATTAGAATGGCCCAGAGAAAAGCAATATTGCACCTGTAGGAAAATAGGATCCTAGCAAATAGTCAATGCAGATTTATAATCTTTTTTTTAGGTCCTAACTAACCTGGCAGAATTCTTTGAAGAAGGAACAGTAATAGACACACACACAGAGAACATGCAATGTGTATGTTGTAGTTACTTTTTTAGAAGGTTTATGTTAATGTTAGTCACAAAAATATTTTTTAAATTACAGGCAGTAGATAGTCCAAGAAATGCCTATTTAGATTGACAACCAGTCAACAGACTACAGTTAAGGGGTGAATGTTGAAATTGGGGAAATGTAATTAGTGGAGTACTACAGGGGTCTGTACCAGGCCCACCGTGGATCTTCTTTATGTAAGTGACTTAGATTCTCATATAGGTAGTTTTACTAGTCACATCTGCACATAACAGCCAAATAAGGAGGATTAGTAAAAGCTGTAAAAGTCTAGAGCAAGACTGATGGTGTTTATTCTGGCCTTAAATGCACATCTTCCGGGATGGGGAAACATCTTCCGGGATGGGGAAACAAAAATATATTGCAAATGTAGTACAAATCCATACATAAAAGAGTTACAGAGTTTTAGGATGTATGACTGTACAAGGCACTTGTAAGCTCGCAATACAAATATAGTATACAATTCTAGTCAGCACTTACTGGTACAAATAACATACTGCTGCTCTGCAATCACTCCAATCACTCCAGGAAGAAGCAACCTGATTACCTAGTTTAAAGCAAAGTCCTGCACTGACTGGCTAAAAGTACCAAACCTTGTGAGCCTCAAAGAGAGTAGGGACCTGAACCAAAGATCAGAATCCCCAAAGGCACTAATAAAGTCCACATAGCCGACTAATTCAGAATCAACAGTGAATCACAAACCAGAGGACAAAGTGGAAGTACATTTATAACTGAGAACAAGAAGGAGTTCCTTACACAAAGCATAGAGGGAGTATGAAACAAGCTACCCAGCCATGTTGTTGAAGCCAATACACTGGCTTCCTTCAGAAAAGATCAATCATCCTATCAAATAACTACTAGGAATCAGAAATGCTAGATGGGTCTTGGATTTGTTATGGGTCTCTTATTTTTGTGTATAGAGGAGATGATTTTTTAATAAAAAGGGAAAATGACTAACTTATTAACAGTACAGTTATTCAGAGCAATGGAAAAATAACTAGTTAAGGAGTAAGACACACCCCATCAAAGTAATGCAGATACCAGCTATAATGGCACAATAGACAGAAACTGTATCTAATGTCATGAATTTCAAAGGCAGAACCTCAGTAAAACTAGGCTACTGCAGATTATGTAATTTTTGCTTTTGTTAAAAAAAATCAGGATTTGCATGCAAAAATTGTATCATGGTTTTTACCATGTGATACAGTTATACAACTGAGATTCACACTTAAATGTAAAAAGCAAGCCTTTGAGCACAACCAATATATAGAACAAAGAAACTTATAGCACAAACAAGCCCCGTTTTGCCTTTAAATGTGTCTCATGACCAGCTACTTATGCGTTTTGACTTAAGAGGTCTATTCATGACTTCTCAGGCAACAGAGGGGCAAGGCATGTTAACTGTAACACAGAAAATATTTGAGAATGTAATATAAATAATCCTGAAAGACTACAATCTTTTAATTCTTGTATGCCTCCAGTTTTCTGAAACTGACTGTCCAGTATTTCACAGAAATACCAAAAAAGATAACATTCTAAGTATAGTAAACCAGGACAAAACATTTAGCAAGAACAAAAGATCTACAGTATTAAGAGTTGAGTACCACAGATACTTTGAGCTCCAAAGAAAAAAGATAAAAATGCATTCTGTGAAACGGATTCAATTACAGCAACTGTTTGCATTAAAAACTAGTTTCAATTATCATCATAAAATTTTACACATTTACATTTTTTTTATTTCTAAGTAAATATTATGAATAATAAAAAAAACAGTACAAGAGTGTAAACAGTAACACTTTTTTACAATTTTAAATTCCCTGACTTGATCTGAGTAATAAAACATTTAAGACAAACATGACAATCATAATATTACAAGCAAGAGGAGGTCATTTGGCCCTTCTAACCTTATCTGGGTGTTAGTAGTGCATTAAGCCAATTTTGAAAGAAGCCAGGATATCGGCCTTTGGGTAAAGAAAAGCCTAATGTTCTTGTTTTAAATAGACTTCCACATAATGGAATATCATACAGTATATACACACACTTGCATGCACAGATAGACTCTTGAGCTTGAGTTATTAAAAATAAAAATACAAACAATAATTAAAACAAACTGAAGCAAAAACAGATTTAAATAATAAATGTTCAGTTTTATTTTTTAATTACTAATGCCCTTGCAAAAATACATATAAAAATGCAACAGTACGTATGGTTCAAGAAATCAGAAAACCACACATGGTGATTAACATTGGACTCACTTACTGTTATGGAAATACAAAAAATTACAGCCATAATTGCATGAATTATTCAGCAGAATAATACTTGAGATTAGGTGTTATTCAGTATGATATACCCAATGCTGGACAGCAGAAAAGAATCGTACTTGATCACTGGTCTTGGCACATCCAGTTTCTTGTATAGTTTTTAATTCCTTAATTTTCCAGTAAGCATGTGGTTACAATTTAAAATATCATTACCAATCAGAAGTAATGTGGCAATTATTAATTTTTATCAACACCATGTTATCAAACTAGTGATTCAGTTTAAAATATTTGGATTTTCACACACACAGCAGGCCCTCTTAATTTCCTCTACAAAGACCGGTCTTATCCTTTGTTTGGTTTAAATCAATTAACTTTTATGTCTTATGTTTTCGTTATCTGGCACACTGTTTGCCAGAACCCAACAGCTGCACAGACCTACCTTAAACACACTATTTGAAATGAGAACTGCTGTTGATGTTAACATTTTCCTTTTCAAACAGAACCTTTAATCTTCAACGTCTTGAAAAAATGGAATGCTTTAGAATTGGATGAAAGCTCTGCCTCTCCCAGTAAGCTACCACATACCTGTCATACACATGGTACTTTGGAGAAAATGATTTATTTGGGGCAGGTTCTTTCCACTGAAAAAGCTGGTTACATAAAACATTAACGTTTCCTAATCAACTGACTGGTCTGAACTTATATTTTAAAACAGCAAGTGATTTAAACTTAACACTTTGGAAACCCTTTTAAGTGTGAAACCAATCAGTTCGTCTTCTAGTTACGCATTCTGGTATCCCATTTGGTATGTTGGCTTTTTTATTTCTGATACCGTTTCCAAATGAAAGGGTGTTCATACTTGAAATTCTTCTTAAGATCATCTAAAGATTATATTCTTTTGTATCATGGAAATCAAGCAGGCAGACAAATGGTAGAACAATGCAGTCCACAAATGGAACGTATGCAAATGTTAAAATGTGTTCTCTATTTTTAGTTTTCTTCCTTAAAACCTTATGTTGTGACAATTCAGATTTAGCATTAGATTGCATTACTAAATCCAGTTCATATGCTTGAAAAAGTGTCTGCATTAAGGAAAGCTGAGGTTACCTATTTTTAAAAGCTTATACAGTAATGCAAGAATTATAACCTAGTAGGGGTTACAGAGCTTTAAAATGAAAAAAGATTAAAATAATTTAATGTTATGAGACAACATGCATAACACAAATCAATGTCTTCAGTTCTCTGTTTCTGTTTTATAGTAGTACTAATTAACACCCCCTGAAACCAGTGTATTTAAAAGTTTATATACATTACAAAATGTTTCATAAAAGATGTTTGGCAGACAAAATCTTTCGAAATCAAAGGGTATAATTATTTCCAATTAAAGACATCTGTATATCAGATTATGAATGTTTGTCCATTCCTGTTGGACACATTTGGTAGAATTAGTAGAAAAGAATACACATTCAACAAATTAGTCCTAAAGTATAAAATTATCATTGGGAGGTAAAACAGGCCTCCCTTTATTCCTTCAGAGCTACTCACATCAAGAAATAAAACTAGTTGAAAACTAAAAAAGTGAAGATCACTGCTAATTAAACACACTGAAAATAATTCTACGTTATGATTTTAATGTAATCTACTGCAGAACCACTTTCCTGTTTCCTGTGATGAAAAAGCCTCAAGACTTATAATCCAGCAATAGACCTGAAATCAAGATTTTTGTTATGGAAAATGAAATATAACGCATTTGAGAGGAAAACAAATATTACAACCAGTATACAATTTGCATGGCTTTTCTGCAACATGTAGGTTCTCTCTTTTTTTTACTGTATGTTAGATCAGGCTGACTAAGATCAAAAGCTTGTATTGTAAAAATTCCACTGACCACATGCAATAGAAAATGTTATGTCAGCTCTAAGTAGTGGAGCTCAGCCTGACCCTTTGAAAGAAACCCCCTAACCCCAACAGATGTTTATGCCTATGGTAGAAGGCAGAAATGGGGAAAAAATAAGGGGATTGATTTGCAGATTTTCTAACACATTTCCATCCTCACTCATCTCATTTTATGCTGACCTCACCCATACCTGCCAGCCACAGAGAAAAATGTTTACAGGTATTAAAACATGTATGACATATTCTATTTCTGTTTGCTTTTCAACCTACAAATAACTCATCCCATTAGACAGTCATTAGACTTCCCCCTCTTCCCCTGCAAGGTAGATTAACTACATCTTGCTTTAAGAAGCAAAATTCAGACCAGCTTAATCATGCTGAAACCCTCAAATGCTAAATCACTTTCAACACTGGGATGGATATTACATTTTGTATGAGTTGTGAAAAAACAAGCACTAAATTCTTAAATATGTCATCTCAGCCCAGATGGAAGACAAAAACATTGTTTTTAAATCCTTATCTGGGACAAAACACTTGCTCTTCAAATACCAAAATTGATTTAAAGGCAAGCAAACTGAAGTGTCTCTCCGTTGTTTCTAAATGTGATTTTGCACCTTTGGGAGGCTATCATCTTGTTCATTGCTGTTGTCAAAATCTGGAGATGCCAATCTCTTGTGTGGTGCTGTGAAGAAAATGAGAAAAAATAATTAAGAAGTAAACCCAACATTTTTATGTACAGTAAATGATGAAAACAGAGGTTGGGGGTTAATCAATATAGCAGTAATTTAGGTTTTGTGTATAGTATCTTGCTCCTAAACTCACCAACTAAAAAGCAAGACACTTATAAAATGCATATATACTGTAGAACTACAACAGGAATGAAAGTGAATGTACACAGTATTCTGAAGTATGAAAAGTACTTTTTCACTGATTGCTCAGTAGAATAGATACTGGAAAGTTAATATGTACTACATATTTTGTATTGGTAGTATACACCCTTTAATAATTAATGCATAAATAAAACAGTAAATATTTGTCAAGACTACACCTTATAATTATATTGAAACCGTTGAACCACACCTATGTAGATCTGTGCCACACCTAAAACACAGCTGCTTCAGCAGGGATCACCCACACCAGTCCATGACACAGATACACACTTTTCTTTTTCAAATTGGAAAAGCCAATATATTCCACATATTACTGTACATAGTTTAACAAAAGTTATAATATCACCCACCTGATGACTGTTCTTTATCTTTAAAAATTCGAACATTTTTGGGGGGTATAAAACATCTAACTAGGCAGATGGAAATGTGATAATATACCAAGTTTACAAAGTTAAAGCTGTCACCATTCCAGTGGTTTGGAAGCTATTTGGCTCAAATTAGAAACGCTGAGACACTGATGAATTTCTACAGATTATTTCTATCATTACACATAGGCTGAACAGATGTTAGATCTGGACACAGTGTGAAAGACAACCAAAAAGAATGGTATACTGTCAGCCTCTGTCCTTTATACTGTAATTTTTCCAAACGTATTGGACAACCGGCAAACACTGCTGAAGTATGCAAAAGCTATGTGACCTTTAAAACAAACATTTGTTCTCAAATGCTGGGGTGACGGTAGGGTTGTGCTGTTTATAAATTCACATGGACGTTTACTCACAGCTGCTGTCCGTAAGGAGGGAGCTTGACAGGAAGCTGTTCTGACCTCGAACAGAAGAAGAAAGAGTAGCTAGACGGATACCGCGAGACGCAGCATCTACCTTCTCATCCTGAAAATCAGAACAAGTGCATCAGAAGAGTGAACCAACGGCTGAAAGTGTCACGTTGTTGATTTACAGATTCCTACAAAAATATCTGCCCTGTGGAGATAATGAATAAAAAAAAAACCGCACTAACTTCTATTAACATTCTTACTTGTTGTTTTACCTCTTTTTTACTTAAAATTTAAACTTTTCTACAAGAGAAGAGAAGCTGTAATGAAAAAAAAAACAGTAAGATGTGCCCCCTGTGTTTGGTAAGAAGGCACTAGGTGATGTGTTTAACTCATCCCCCCTTGGGTCAGGCTGGGGTCTGTAGTCATTATATATAGAAACAGCAGCTTCCTGCACTGGCTTGGACGAACAGGGTCTGTGTGTTTGTGAGAAGGCAGACTGGGTGGAGACAGCAGTATGTGGAGGTACTGTGCCGTAGCAGTAAGTGCTGCTGTGCCACACAGCCTCGGGGTCCCAAGTCTGATTCCAGACACGTGTTAAATTTGCATGTTCTCCCCCATGATCACCTGCTTTTTCTCCAGCTGCTCCAGTTTTCTCCTATCCGCCAAACGTGTTGCCCAGACTTTCTGAGGTCTGTGCGTGTGTCCGTGTTTGAGCCCTGCGTGTCTGGGATCGGCTCCGGGCTGCCTGGCCCTCACCATGAGAATAAATGGCTCTCTGGTAATGGATGGATGTTATGTAACCATCTAAACTGATGTTTGGATGTTTTTGCTGCAGCGCTGATATAAGCATTCCAGAAAGTTCTGTCGTTATTTAACACTGCTAACGTGCCAAAAGGCAGCTGCGTATTTTAAAGATCTTCGAAATGTGCAGTGCACAGTAAGCTGGATCATTAGGCAGATGCTATAACTACTTACATCTAAGAGTGCATGTCATTAGAGTAATAATTTGATTTTTTTAAGGATTAACTGAACTACTGGGATAAATGTTCCCAGAAAGAAATATAGATTTGTCTCCTGTAGTTATAATTATTGGTAGCAATTACCCAGTATCAACGTATTTAGTTTAATGTGCCAGAATCCCTTTGTCACAATCCCTTGTTCTGGCTAAAGAGCTTGATCTGAAGTAAACAATGAAGTGACTATCGAACGGAAGTTTAGCCACAGGCTTCTGAAGGGTTCAGGAGAATTTATCACTGTTGCCAGACTGGGCTAAACTAAAACCAATTCGGTACATACCATGAATACTTCATCTACAGAAAAATGTATGTACCCTGGTTATTATAATGCTATAGTAAGTAAAATAGTTTTAAAAAGCAACTTTAATGTATAAAAGAAAATTGTTTAAGGAATGACTTTGTACTACTATCTGATATACAACAAATATTTAAATATATTTTGAATCAAGGTACCATTGATTCCCTGTGATCAAAAATATGTATTATATTTTTATATTTTTTCTCAAAGGAGATATGAAATTTACAGTACCCTGTATTCTTGTATTCTTCTTTTAGACTCCTCCAGTTGATGCTGTAAATCTCCAACAATTTCTTTGTATTTAACATATCGATGTTCAATCATTTCCCTTTGTCGCTGTGATTCCTGGAGTGGAAATTACATTTTTTTTCAAAGAGCAAATCCAGTTCCACTGTTGCCTCACCTTGGCTGTTTCTAAGCTAATTTAAGGTTTTTGCCAAAGACTTGGTTTAAATTTGGAGAAAATTACAATCAAAATAGATAAAAATAAAATCTTAAATCAAGGTAAAACACATATATATATATACATACAGTCTATGTATATCAGTTATTTTCAGAACGATTAAAATCAGTTTTATTTTGTATTATAATTCAACAAATTTCATAGAAAGGAAAGATTTAAAGACAAAGAATATAATATCAGACAAACTTACTTCGCATCTTTTCTGAACTATTAATTACTTTAGACGTAAATGTATTAGACTCCAGCTGTGAATATCGAAATATTCTCTTTGGACACTTCTGCTAAAAAATACACATTTTTTGGCCTTTCATATCCAACACTATATTATAATTGTCACTTCATAGAATTCGTTTTTTTATTCTTTTGAATGCTGGAAAGCAAAAAACACATTTTTCTGTTTTTAGTCTGATCCAGATTTCTTATCTGCTACAGAGTTCAAGCAAACACATTTGTCTGCACACAACTGGAGCCAACTATGTCAGGATTATCTCTTATCTGTGAGGCTTAACGTTCAGATCATAAAGGAATATTCACAGAAATGACCAAATGAAAAACTTGATTCAAACCAAGAAACGACAGCGTTTTTATCTACTTGTGTCACCAGGTAATAAACACTGGTAAGAATAGCAATAAAAAGTAGGTGCCGATATCAAGATTAGAGAAACTATCAAATCAAAGTTCAGTTCACATTGTAAGAAATGTTAAAATACCCAGTGACGTCCAATAACTTGCCTCAAGATCCTTGAAGTCTTCTAGTAGACTTAATTTCTCAGGAACAGATTCCAAATGGTCCAAGGCTAACCTGGTACTCTAAATGAGATATTAAAAGCATAACGTTAGTTTCTTCAGCTTAATATAAAACAATTGGGCTTCTTATTTCTAATGTTGATGTAACATTATAAAGCTGCTCAAAAACTTCAAAAGTCTTCAATAATCCATCGTAATGAAACATTACATTTTATCCGTTTCATCAGATTCAGTGTTGTTGTTGACACTACTGAAATCAAACCATTGATGGAGATTAGAAATCTTGGGTGTTATTTTTTTGTTAGAACATCACAAGGGTATATCTTTTTTTCCACCAGTGAAACATTGCTTGGTTAAGACCCTTGCTCTGCCTGTGATCCTCAAATATTGATTCATGCCTTCATTTAATCAGACTACTGTAATCTTAGTGACTGCAGTATAAAGTATTTCCTAAGATACTAAACAGGCTCCAGTGTATCAAAATACCTGTACTGTACAGGTAAACTAAAACTATTCTGAACCAGCATAGTGATGAGCTTAAGCATTGGGACAGTGAAGTGAATGTTATTTTTGCTGTGTACTAATGAAATTAATGAACTTTTCTGTCTTTTCACCACACTTCACATTCAACAGATTAAATCAGCTCGTTAGCTGCGCCCAATTAACTCGCTTACAAAAAAGGCACTATAGTGCTTTGCACTCAGTCACTAATGATCAATCAAAATGATGCCTAAAACATTTATTCACCACCCAAAGCCTACAGTATATACTATAAATGTGCATGCGTAGATGATTAATTTCTTTGGATGTCCATTATAGGGTATGTAGTAAAAGTCTGCATATGATCATGTTTTTGTTGAACCAGATTAATAATACATCATAAACTAACAAAAAGAGGTACTTTCCACATTTAGGCAACTGAAGAGTTTAAGGCAGTTATGGCTTCTTGCATAACAGAAGTGTAGCTAACTAATAACAGCTTCAGATACAACTGAACTGTCATCACAAGCATTATAGAAAACAAGCAGAATAATCTGACTTGGTCATGTTTACTAAACTCTGTGCTTTAAAGCTAATATGTACTCTAACCTCCTCTTATATGATATAATGTGATGTTAAAAGAACCTAGTGTTACTGTAGTTGAAGGATTTAAGGAGACACCAATGACACAACTATTTATAATGCTCGAGGATATATGATTTAAACAGCTGTGGTATATTTTTTTGCATTTGCATTTTATCGCTTGAAAAGGAATGTGACAAGACTAAGACTATAGTTACGGTGTTGGTAGCATGATAAATACATAAAAGATAAATTTACATTTACTATTTATTTAATATTTAATATTTAATATAAAGGTTAGGATGCTGAACTACTCAGCTTCAGGATACTGTCACAGTTAGGATTTTATAAAGATAGAACAGTACTTAAATTACATTGTGATTCATTGCAAACTCAAAGTCTTTTACCACTTTATAAGACTAACTCTTCCAGATCTAGGATCATGGTGCAATTCCTGGCATAGCTCAACAGCAAACTACACTACAGACGACAAAATGATGTGCATCACAGACACACAAATGTATTTCCTTATATCGTTGGATCCATGGATTCAAATAACCATCAAATAAAGATCACTTTATTGGCCATATACAATTTCTTGTATTAAGCAGACCCCAGCTTGCTCTCCATGAGACACACAGACAGGGAGAGAAGGTTGGGGTCAGAGCGCCGAAGAGCGCCAGCGGAGAAGGATTCCTCTGCCGGCCACGGGATTCAAACTGGCAACCTTCCAGCCACAGGCGCCGATCCTGAGCCACTGAGCCACCCCACCACCCCTCTAAATGATGAGCTAATCATTTAGAATTATGACAAATTCAATTAATGACATGTATGTCCATCTACCGACCTACATAATTGTGGTAATGGAACAAGTAAAGGTTTATTCCATGCTAAAAAGAGAAGAAAGGAAACAATGTTTCGGCTGTTGAGCTTTCTTCAGGTGTGTCTTCTTCTACGTTAACACACCCCAAGAAGGCTCCATAACTGAAACGTTGCATTTCCTTTCTTCTCTTTTAAGCATGGAATATACATTTACTTGCTCCTTTGTGCAGCCTACGCATGCTGACGCAGCTCCCTACTTGAACTAATTGTGGTAATGTTTGGATCACCTATCAAACTGCCTCATAGGGAACTTATGAACTGCTTGTGAAAAATAAACATTTTAATGAACAAGGATGCACATGTGTTCCTTAGAGTATGTGCCTCTCTTTGAGTAACTTATGTCTAGGAACAAAGTGCTTGAACATGGTCCAGCTTTGGACAATATCATAATTACTTAAAGGTGAAGTATAATCATCTTTTAGTGCTGTGCAAGCAGAGCACCAATACCCCATCTACAAATTAATTTAAAACAATATAATCAATATGATGGAATGGAAAATCTAATAGGTGTTAAGAATATCAATAAAATAGTGCACATATTTTCATTATCTTGTTTTGAAGGCATAGAGCAAGGAAAAAGAGGTCAGCCTAAACAGAGAAACAAGTAATAGGTTTATTCCATGCTGAAAAAAAGAAGAAAGAGAACACAACGTTTCGGCCGTGGAGCCTTCTTCAGGTGTGATATAAGGAAATACATTTGTGTGTCTGTGATGCACATCATTTTGTCGTCTGTAGTGTAGTTTCCTCACACCTGAAGAAGGCTCCACGGCCGAAACGTTGTTCTCTTTCTTCTTTTTTTCAGCATGGAATAAACCTATTACTTGTTCCTTTGCAGCCTACGCGTGCTGACGCAGCTACCCCCCTGAACCTAAACAGAGAAAAGCAACATTATGCTCAGAAACTTTAAGACAACTGTTTAACTACTATATATGTTTATGGCATCTGGACATCCACAATGGTTTTTGGTTTCCGAAAAACCATCACTTAAACCATCAATTACAGCATCCTCTCACATGGAGAATCATTGAGGGATCACTGGTCTGTCTCTTATTTTGTAACCAAAAGCCAGAGTATACATTTTGACTGTTTAAACTGTGATATGACCAGAGTATTCCACAGGGATGTGTGACCTAACACTACCAGCACACAAAGTGCTGGTGGATATAAGACAGACCACATGATAACCAGCCAATGAATTACTTGCAAATTTGCCAAATCATTTTTTCTCAAGACCTGCAAATGCTGTTATCTAGTGTAGTTTTCACCCTTCGGTTCTGCTATGTTTTAATATTCATTAAAAACAAAATTTAATTCTTACCATTTCCAGATCCAATATTCTGTCCTACAAGAGAACAGAAAAAATAATGTCTATCATGAAACAACAACAAGAGGTTTACATTTACAAAAAATAAGTTGTGCACTACAATATATATATAAAGGTCAGTCTAAAAATTTGGACTCAGGGTCAACAAGTCTGGGTAGCTTGGTCAAGTAACCCACAGCCTTTTGTGTTAAGAGGTGCCCCCTGCTCTCAGAACTAAATGCACACCCAGTTTCAATGTGCTTTTTCAGACTAGTATTTCACTGTTGATTCTGGAAATGTCTATTACTGTTAGTTGAATAAGTCAATGTTTTTGAGGATTTTGAATACCCAAATCAGGTCCCCTCCAAATCTTCTTTGTTCAAAGCTAAAAGTTCTTGCAGTCCATCACAGTAGGACATTCCTTCAATTCCAGGAATGATCTCTCTTCTGGTCCCTCTTCTCTGGACTGATTCCAGAGCAATAATATTTTGGTTGTAACTTGGTGACCAAAATCGTATACACCATATTCTAAGCAACATCTAACTAGTGCATAATATAATTTAAACATAACTTTCCCTTGGTTTAAACTCTACATAATAAACTACATACCCTAACACTGTGCAGTTTGTTTATTGGTTCTCTACGTCATTGCTCAAAATGCAAAGTTAGCTCTGGCTCGCTTCACCAGTATAAAAAGGAGTTAGGTACTCATTACCACTCAAGTCAGATACACTTGGAGAATAATGCAGAAAGGAAAAGATACTCATTTTAAGCCTTTGAAATTTACTATTGCCTGAGAGTGAATGATGTTCCACTTGTAATGATATATAAGAGCTGTCTAAACTTCTCCTACTTATCTGCCACTCATAGGTGCACCTGTGAGAAATTCTACCCTGGACACATAATTACAATTACTGGTTTTTACAGACTGCCTTGAACAGTCTAATTTTTCTTGATTAAAATCCAAGTCACTGTCTTTAGGGAGTAATTAATTATACAAGAGAGCTGGCAGGTGCAACAACATCACCACAGATGTTCTAAAAGAACTGTCTGATACAGCAAAAAAAACACCATTGTACTGCTGCAACTAAATGCTTTAGTATGAAAGGTCTTGAATAAATAGTGTTGAATTCAGAATAAACACTAACAAAATCACTAGATAATTAAATGATTTCCAATATTCTGTTTAAAAAATAAACACTAATTCAACCGGCCACATCTTAAAAATACTTTAGTCGTAGTAGAAGTAAAGACAGTGAGAGCAAATTGTTCAAATACAACTATTTGGTACTGAAATGAAATACTAAGGAGTTCAATCAAGTAAACCTAACCAAGTTAGTTTTCCACAGTAGTTTTCACAATCTCTGTGAACACCAAAGTTAATTCTTTTTCACAGCCTTAGTCCCAGACTGTCCTGGGGTCAGCTGCTTTGGTTGCTCTTAAACACCAAAGTTAATATTTCACCAAATATTTGAAGTAATTTACAGGGATGAAGGACCGGAGCACACCAAGGTAAAACATTACTGGTCCAGGAGACACTCACGTGCAGAATTCGCATCTCTTCGTCCTTCCTGCGCGTCTTCTCCAGCAAATCTGAAAATAAACACAGACATCTCCAGATCCACAACGAGCACCCGCCAGAAGAAACCTGGAGAAAACAGCTGAATGGCATTTTTCACTTTGCAAATACATGAGTAAGAAACGGTATAAGCCCAAAGAATGGAAAAACCTTGTAAAATATTTGAACATGACAACCTTTCTGTTTGTAGAATACAGTATAGTGTTTCTGGGAAATATTATTAATAAGTACAGCATCAAGCTTGAGAAAAGTGGACAATGGCAGAGAAGGCATATTTGTGCTTTATATGTGTCACTGTTACAGCAAAGACCTCCATGGCACCGATTTCCCCAAAAAGAAATCAGTCTCTGCACTTTCTGCTCTTCCTGAGTATTGCTTCATAAAAAATAAATAAAAAAAACATCCACAGGACTTAATACACCCCCCTGCAGCTGATAAGATCCCTTTCAGGAAGAGTAAATACCAACTGGTTGAAGATTATTCATCTACTTCAAAAAGTCCAAACTGCTGACAGACAGGCACGCAATTTAATATGACCTTTGCCCTTTTTAAATACTAAAAATGAATGCTGATGAGACACTTCATGTAGTTCATGAAATGAATACTTACAATGAAGGATCAGTTATTCCCATTCTGTAGAAACTGTACACCTGTCCAGGATCTGTACACCTGCACTCACTCACAATTCTGTATCTTTTTGCTTTGCAAAAGATACCCATCTTAAGAAGCCTCCTAGCAATTGTAACACTAGTTATTTTTTAATGCTTTTTAGGATTAGCAAACTATTTAAAACAATAATCCCTTGAAACAGTTTTGAAAAGTGAAATCCTGACAATGCTTTGACTGGAATTGCTAAGTCAATAACGATGCCTACAATCAATGTTATTATTAACAAAAGGCTTTAGCAGAGAACTGCATGATATGTTGAAAAAAACACTCAAGCATTTAGAACACTTAGAATATCAAAACAGATTAGACAACATTATATTTTCCATCAGTGTGATTTCTTGTCTATAAAAGCAATACTACACAATATGTCAACACATTTTAATGCTGATAACAGTGCAAAATGGGAGAAGTGCTTCGACCTAAAACAGCCTAGTATTGGTAAAAACCTAAAAAACTCACAGCTAACAACTTCAAGACACCACTCTCAGCTAATCAACTTCAGAACAGTTCCATGGTTTGACTGCAACTTCAACCCCATCTGTCAATACAATCAACCACAATTCGGTGTCCATGCTCAAAGCTGGACAGAGGAGGGGGGGGTGACACCAAGGTTCATGTGCAAAATATTGGTGATTCAAATGATCAACTAGAACAGAAAACTGAACCACAAATATTTTGCATATCAGTAGTCAAATGATTAAAATCACATTGCTGCTTGACTGAATGTTTGTATACCTCCCCCTGCAGCTATTTCTTCCGATCGGGGGAGGCCCAAGCGGTGAACGCACATACTGCAGCACTCACGCCCCCTACACATGCAGTAGTAATGAGGTAATAACAGCAAGTGTGTGTGGGTTTATTCTCGGGGAGATTACATGTGATGACAAGATCAATACCATATTCTTTGATTGTTGATAACAGATTTACCACTGGGACCTGGAATTAAAACAAAAGGTTACAAGGAATGTGACGTACCTTGGAATGGTTATGAATGACAAGTGCTGGAGAAATCCAAGCTATTATTCTTCTTGTTGTTGTTTTTGTTATTTAAGCCTGCTTGTGATGTGTAAACATGAAGCAAGCAATGTCTACATATCCCAATCAAATGCTGTTCAACTAGATAAAACAATGCTCTCCTTTAGACATCAATTAGTAAACACATGCATGAATTAGTTCTTTCTTCTGCTGTCTGCAGATTACCACACATAACTGAACACCAAGGAAAGAATTCCAAGTGTCTGTGAACTGCAAATGCTAAATATAACCACAATCTTATTTTATTGTCATTAAATGTATTTCCAAATAACTGTGTGCATATACTAAACTTTTGATTTTTGGTAATCAAGGGAATGTCATTTCCATCAATGTAAAGGAATGATCTTGGCTTTTTATAAAGTGAAGTCTCAAGATTTGTTTGTGTCCGAAATGTCATATGTTATTTTTTGCCTTTCAAAATGCACGAGAATAACATAACATGAGAACACAAATTCCTGGGGGCAATTTTCACTTTACATATTGTACTTGGTTCATTAGTCAGTTTGTGCCAAGTGATACTAAACGTTATAGAGACTGTAATGAACTGTTTTGTTCCCCCTTCAAATTTACAATGAAAGTCTTGTTTTCGAAAAATATAGGAACAGGGCAGCAAACAAAATAAAATAGAAGTACATTTTTAGTTTGAAAATATAAGATAACGATTAGATAAAATTAGACTTCCAACAATACATGTACGGTATTTACTAAATATCAGTTTATAACTTGATTAAAATGATCTTTGAAAAGTACGGTTAAAGAACGATGCCAGAAGGGGAAAATAAGATCCGTCTGTTCATTCTGCACACGATTCAATAGTTCATCTACCTAGCTTATCAGCTGACTCTGTGACTGTCATGTCTTTTCATCACTCTTTAACAAAAAGCCACCACTCTAGAAGTTAATGTAAACTGAAAGAACCAAGAACCAAAATAAAGGCAAGTTTACTCAACAAATACGATCAATGACAAACATTTTAAAGATTTCTTTCCATTTGAAATACAACACATCTCTGTATCCCTCTGTGGTATCAAAGGTATGCTGATCAGCAGCTTATAATGAAATGCATGTTTTGTTCAGATGGAACTCAACTGTCAAATAGTTTACTCCCATAGAATAGCATTCTAAATCGTTATATGGGAACCCAGTCAAGGATACAGAGAAAATGAAAATGCAGTCCCAATGAATTAATAACACCCAATGGTGTAGGATACTTTAATTCTCAGATATCACTTTATGCCTTTGGCCCATTCAGTGGCAAACTACAGACCCATTCTGGCAGAATACATCAGTGTCAGCAGCCAGTGAAGTGGAAGAGAGAGCTAGGAAGTTAAAGCCTTACCTCTGACAGCCTCATCTATCAAAGCACCTGCATGGTGGAGAAAGCCCCCCACGTCTGACTTCAAAGTGGCTCTATAAGCGAGCACAGAGAGAGTGGAGAAAAGCCCAAAGCAGGAGGCAGACTGATCGAGTGATCTCCTCTCCATTTCAGTTTATCGCAAATAAGGAACTAGAGACTAGAGGAAAACGAGAAGCAATAAGGACAAAGCTCATACAATTACAGTGTATTCTGTAAAAGTATTTGACTGCAAGATATGATCAGAAGACAAAAAGGTTCTGAAGGAGGGGCTGCATCGTTTTGAGATGAGTGAAGCGATCATGGTCAATTTACCATCATTATCATCCATGTCACAAATGAAGGATAGGGAAAACTCTGCAGCATTTAGAGAGCCTGAAAGTTAACTGATTTTGCAATAAAGTAAATGCTTAGGCATTTTGGGCGTCTTCATGTTCATATTTTATCAATAAAATTCATTAAGCATAGTTCTAATGCTAGTTATCTGAAACACCTAAATTAATATTAAAGTACCTTAATAAGCATTTTAAAAGAACAGTACATTGCCTTTTTCAACACATGAGCAATTTGGCTAATTTAGCAGGTGTCAAACTTGAATCATAAAACTGTCTAGACATTCTGCTGACAAATCTCTTCTAGGCAGGGTAGAAATTCGCAGAATCTTATAGTTCTCTGAATGGATTTAACTTTAACAGAAATGTTCTCATGAACGAGACAGTGCAACACTGCCAACTGTGTACTCAGTAAACAATTAGCTTAATTTTAAAGGACAACTACAGCTATTTCATACTACTGTCTAGAACTGAAGACTTTTGATCACTTGAGCCAACATATCTGGAAGCTAACCCATGTCTCAAATTAGTTTATTTTTTTTCCCCCAAAAAGAAAAAGCTTAGCTACGGGAAGAGTATCAAAGTTAATCCAAAGACGAATGCAACTTTAATACTTAAATGATCAGAGGAAGTATAGACCTCTAGTAAAACAAATAAATTAGTTTAAGAGCTTACATTATTACTACAATGTCACTTAAGTGAAAATGAAGCTTTTTTTTTTTTACACAAAGGGCAACATGATGAAAATTTGTATTTCTGAATGTTAAAGGTCATTTCCTAATTTTTTACAATTCAGATTTAAAGGAATCCAAAAGTAACACATTCAGCGTTCCTCTACTGCTGAAGCTCAAGACTGGCCATCACTGCTTATGTGCACAGCATTTGCTTAACATAAGCATTCCTTTTGCTAATATAATAAGTCTATTTGTGAAATACAGTATATTGTGTTATATTTCAAAAGCTACAAAATGTCTTGTTCAAGTAAAATGTACTACAGAGACTGCAGCCAACAAATAACTTTGCCTTCATTTCTTGTCAACAAACAGAACGAAAATTATGTTTCCTAAAGACAAGGCTGTTGCAAAAAACGCATATTATAAATTAATTTTAAAAAGAAGTTTTAATTATTAGGATAAACAAATTCTAATATTTCATTAAGTTAACAATCCTTAAAGATTATAATTGTTAAAAACCAAGCTGTCGATTACAGCCCTTTAACACTACAATAAGGAAAATAAGCAACAGCATGAGAAATTTTAAAACACTGCTTAAGAGATTCTCACGGGTTAAGCTGATTATAGACGACGTAAAAAAGAACTATATATCTTAAAATCCTTTAACAAACATGGCAACTTGAAACAATGCCTGACAGAAACATGGACAGATGAGATGGATAGCATCTCTGTCATTTAAAATGAGTCTAACACATCATTATGACATATTCTGAAAGATTTCGCAACATGACGGTCAAGGCTGTGACCTTTAAGACACATTGTGGAACACACAAATATCCCAGAGCATATTAAACCCACAGACCTCCACTTTACAATGTTATGCCGAATCCTACAGGATTCAATGTTCTATAATCACGACTATCGACCCAAAGATAACACATTCCAAAGAG